CCGAGAAACCGCGCTCAGGGCGCGATGGACAATTTTTCTGAAAATATTTATTTCAGAACCCGATTTTTTTGCTGAAGAAGCAAGGAGTTTCCCTTGCCTCACCGTCACTGTCCGTGTTTGGATGAATTCTGTTCCCTCGCAGGGCTGAGTTTCCAGTCACACCCACTGCTGGGTCGCAGATGCCCTCACAGGCAGCAGCTACCTTGCTGGGCAAAAAAACAATCTCCCAAAACACCCAGTCACTTCAGCAAACGTGATTTTTTCGCCATCCTCAAAGCCAGGCTGCTTTATCAAGGAATAAAGACAAAGAGGAGTGTCTAACAGGCTTTTACTGCCTCATAAAATTCAGCTCAGTCCCGTTATCTGTAGCGAGTGCTCTGTTAAAGTCCCCGATTTCCACTCTTGAACCAGCTGTTTCTCTTGAAGTCTCCTTGCCTGTTGTTCCCGAACCTGGAGAAGCCTCGTGCTGCCTCCTGGGGATATTCCTCCAGCTCGGGCAGCTCGCTGGCCACCGAGAGCTGCCAGCGCCGCGTGTCCCTCCACTGCTCCTGAAAGCACAGCAATGCAACCTTTACGTGCTGCAGGGGTGTGCAAGGCATCAGAAGCAATGCTGAATGCAAAGGCCTTCCAGACAAACCCCACCCCTGCCAAAACAGGCCGCCAGATCCCCCCTGGGACACACAGCCCTGTGACAAAGGATAAACAATCACAAGAGGCAAGAGGGAATGAAGTCTACAGAAAACTGGAGAGGCCAAAGCATAGGCTAGCCAACGACCATAGAGTTTTGTTTCATGAAATCAGGTAATATAGGAAGGGACATGAGAAGAGGCACAGCAGGGTATTTTCTAATGATTATGCTGTGTTCTTTCTAATCACTCTGTTGCCTATGCAAAATCCTTATTAAACCACAAACCTCCCTAACCGCCCCACACTCAGTCTTATACAGCAGTTGCCAATTTCCAAATCACCAGGTTTTAAAGCCACTCTGAGCTACTGCCCCTAGTGCCCCAATCAGGGCAGATTTTGAATTAGAAGCTCAGCCAAGCTCAACATGGCTAATAGGAAGAGTAGGCCCAGGGTAAGAATGGAAGGGGCAGTGGGGTTCAGACTGACATTGCCAGCAGTAAGGCTAGTACATACAAACATACCTGTATGTTACTCAGCTCATCAACAGGGATATCAAAGCACACGCCCTAAAAATACAAACAAACAAAAAAAGGCACAAATTTACAATGAAAGAATAAAGGCCTCAATAACCAATCCCACTACATAATTGTGATGGTGTTCACAGGGGTCTTAGGATGAGGGAAGAGACGATAATGTTGGCTACATGTTTCGGAAGGCCTGATTTATTATTTTATGATATATATTACATTAAAACTATACTAAAAGAAGAGAAGAAGGGAGTTCATCAGAAGGCTGGCTAAGAAACGAAAAAGAATGGTAACAAAGACTTGTGGCTGACTGAGACAGTCTGGACAGCCAGACTGTGATTGGCCATTAATTAGAAACAACCACATGAGCCCAATCCCAGATGCACTTGTTGCATTCCACAGCAGCAGATAACCATTGTTTACATTTTGTTCCTGAGGCCTCTCAGCTTCTCAGGAGGAAAAACCCTAAGGAAAGGATTTTTCAGAAAACATGTCTGTGACATATATTTATTTCTGATGCTTTTTTTTTGGAGGCAATTCCTGCATTATCATTTAAGAGTAATGTCTCTAGTAAGTGTTTTAAAGCACTCAACTAACATCAAAGCCTTTTATTTCCAACACCATATGCATAAACAGCATATTCAAGATAGGTTATAATTTCCTGAGAAATGAATTTGAGTAGGGATAGAGCAGCACCAACATTCTGTACCAGTAGTTCAGCACTCCAGCCTCAGTCCCTGCACAAACTGGTGACATGTGAACACTCACAAAGCCCCACATCCCTCCACTGCCAGGGCTGGCCCCTCTCACCATCTTCCCCTTGAGGAAACGCATGGCAGACACTTTGTTATCAACCTCCTCGCCCAGCTGCTCCTTCAGCCCCCGCCAGGCATAGCCCATGCTGTGCATCTCTATGGAGCACTTCAGCACCATGGTCACAAAGCCCTGCAGGAAACAGAGAAACACCTTAAACAAGGCTGAGCCTGCTGCTGGAGAACAGGTAAAAAACCCCAAACTGACACTCTTGCAAAACTGGGTTACCACACCGTGCCCTGGGCCACATTCTCCATAAATGCATTAGAAAACAGAAGTGCTGTACTTTCCTTCAGCCAAGATCTCTCTGAGATCAGGCAATCGCGTGCCATGCTTGCAATATGACAAATGAAGAAGATTCTTATCAAGGTTCTTGATAAAGAGGAAACTACAACAGCATGAACTAATCTATTTGCTTGTAAAATGTCATTAGTTAAACTCTCTTAGAGGATTGAAGTCTTCTGTCACTTCATTCTCTGGAGAAAATCTTTCCATTTTCATCACAAGAAAAATGACTGATTTGAAGTTTCTCCTGGAGAGAGCCAGTTCCAGCTAAGGAACAAGCAACACAGCAGGAGCCTGGGGGTAACAGCAATTCAGACACCCAGCTGAAAAAGCCTGGGAAGGAGATGCCACACAACAATTCATGCATCCATCCCTGTCACCAGGGTGCACCATCACTTACAGCTGTGGAGTTGAGCAGGGAGCGCTGCTGGATGTGAGCTGCCCCAGAAATGTGTGCCAGGGCTGCAGCCAGGGCAGCCACTGCCCCCTTCTCATCTATCAGCTCTTCAGCTGATTTTCTGAAGTAGTCCACTGCAGAGGGAGGAACGGCCTCCAGCAACCTACACAGTTACAAGATGGGTTTAAAGAGGTAAGAAAAGGCCATTGTGAAGAGCAGCCATGTTCAAGACATACCCTAAATCAGTTATTTTTGAAAAGGGCAGGGGGGGAAAAAAAGACAGGAAACTAAGAACAGCTCCTGCTGTAATGCCATTTCTGGTACAACAGCTCCTCCCATCATTTTTCAGGACACAGTGAACCCAATACCATCACTGCTTTATACTGGTCAAATCCTCACTAATTATAATAACCTGCTTCAAGGCAATTTCCACCACAGGGGCAGCAAATGTAAACAGAGCTGCATGGAATGAAAGCCACAGCCCTCACAAACAACACAGTCCAGGGCTAACAACCCTCACTGCTGCAGAGTGACTCCTCATTATACCAAGTATTGCTTTTTGCACACTGCTTCCACCATGTCATGTGAGCAGACAAAATCAGTTTCCCCTCACGACAGCATTTCCCTCTTCTGTCACTCATTTCTGACTTTATAAACAAGGGTTAATTTTTTGCAAAAACTTAGAGAACATAATGTGCTATGGAAAGGTCTGTGTTGAGCACACAGAGATGTACTGATACCATCTCATGTTGTCTATACACAAAGCAGCTGACTCCTACAACACAGGCAAAGCCATGCTCACATACAGGCCTGACTGTGCATTAAGCTCTAAGCATCTAGAGCAACAACATCACTAAACCTTCTTTAAGAACAAGCAAATAAACTTACTTTTTGGCATCACTACTTGAAGCTTTAATGACATCTGTAGCAGAGGGAACTCCTACACGCTTGAAGGTAATACCCTGAAATCAAGAAAGCAAATTAAAGGTATTTTCAGCAGTGTCCAATTCAATCCTGCCTAAAACACACTACTGAGATCTCTACTTACTGTTTGCAAGATCAACATATTCTTTGCTAAGTCATTTCTAAAGCTAAAACAAAGCTGAATTAAAATAAAGCTTTGTTAATCTGGAGCTACTTTACTCCAATGTACATGCAGACTGTGATGCAAGGCACATTCTGCCTTGGGCACTCCTGTCCCAGGCTGCCTGCTGACATCCACAGGGGACTGCCAGCATGGGAAAACTCAGGCAAAGCAAGAACAGCCCACACAGAAGCATTTCCAAACACCAAACACCAGCACTTCAGGCCTGCTCCTTTATGGGACTGGAGACTCCTGTTCTGGGCTCAGCCACCCCTGATTACCAAGCCTAAGGGAGGCAGGGTCCTGTTGGGAGCTGAATAACTTCTTTAAGCAAGCTCTGAGGCACAACTCACCGCTTTGTGCTCCACCTGCTTCAGCAGATCTTCTTCTCTCCTCTGAAACAAGCAAATGCAGATGCCGGTGCGGCCGGCCCGGCCCGTGCGCCCGGAGCGATGGATGTAGGAATCCACATCCTTCAAAATTCAGGGCAGTGTGTTATTTAAACTGCTGACATTTCACATTAAACACAAGCTAAACACAAATTCAGAAGCCTAAGAAGTGATACACTATGTGTTTATACCTAAACTTACAATAAATCACTCAGGTTTGCATGTGCTCCCCCACCCACAGTATGCTGCTCAGCTTTAACCAACGCTGCTGACAGACATTGCAAGTTTTCTAAATAAAAAGCTCCACTGGAGTTTCAAAAGATTAAAAAAGCAGCAGAAATATTTTAAGATTTTTATAAAACTCAGCAACATTCAGAAAGATTTCGGGAAAGTTTCACAATGTCAAAACATATCTTACCAGTTTCCAGAGTAAACAAAACCCAAGACTTTAATCAAAGTTCAAACTGTAAAACTGTAACTACAACATTTTAGGCCAGGCATTTACAAAAAATTTATTAATTCAAAAATTAATTGGAACAGAACACACTTCTGAAGAAACAGAGAAATAACCCACCATTCTGGCACAAAAAAAAAAAAATTAATCCAATTTTAGTTTCCTTTAATGACTTACTTTTGGTGGTGAGCACTGTATGACAAGGTCAACCTCAGGAATATCCAAACCACGGGCAGCTACATTTGTTGCAATCAGCACTTCAAACACACCGTTCCTGAAGCCTTTTAATGTGATTTCTCTCTGTTTCTGTGGAATGTCACCATGCAGGGACTGGGCATCCTGTCAGTAATACAAGCCATTAACATGACATTTCATGGGAGTCCAGGATGCAGCATCTAAAGATTAACTGCAAACCCCAAAACACTGTGCAGAGCAACAGAAAATAATTGCAAAGCATCCTACTTTGCTGGATCCTTCTCTGGGATTTACTGTGAAAGCAGCATGGCCAACAGGCAGAAATTACTGCTGCAAGTTTTGAATGGGGATGGTACATGAGATTTCTCTAATACCAGGCAAACCATGTATTCCCAGCACTGTTTGCTCTCCATAAATAAGCACTTGGCATCAAACAGGATTTTCTCTGAAAAATATGCAGCACTTTTCCTCACATTCAGAAAAAGGGCAGTAATTCAAGCAAGCACAGGAGACCTGCTCAACAGATCACTGTGTTCCAAACAAACCCTTGGCAAACCTTCCAAGGGCAACAAGGCATTTATTTCATTCTACCATATTAGTTGGATTTTCCTCAATGACTGTTCAAACATCAAATGCCATTAAGAGATGGGAATCCAAAAAGCACACTAATATAAGATGGGACGTGTCCGCTACACTAGCTCCTGTTTCTTACAATTATTACTTTACAATTATCACTATCTCCTGGTTATTCAGCATAGGCTGTGTATTTCCTGTTGATCCATGTCCTGCACTATTTTAAAGCCAAAGGAATAAATTCATAATCTCTACCAAGAGGATGCTTAAACTTCAAGCTAAACTTTTAGAAACAGCTTTTTTCACAGTTTTAAAACCATGCACAGAAACAATTTTCTCCACACAGTTGCAACCCCCTATTTATTTCAGGGCATTCCACCCCTGCAAACCCCAACCACTGCTCTCCTCTCAGCCCCAGTACCTGTTTGAGAGAAGCATTCATGGCCAGCTCATTTGCTTCCTTTTTGGTCTCACAGAAGACAATGGTCCTGCCATGGGTGCCACTGTAGACCTGGATGATGTCCCCCAGAACTCCTGCCCTCTGAGAGGAGCGGCACTGTATGGCCAAGTGCTGTTTGGGAGAGAAACAAGAAACCTGTGTTAATCTAAGCCATGCACAGGACAGACAAAATGAACAAAAAAAAGTTTTAATTTTTTAAGCTTGCAAATGATAGGTCCCACATGAAAGCTTTGCTTACAAAATCTGCGTGTCAACCATGTGCAAAGCCATTCCACACACCCATTTATGAAGTCAATGCACAACCCATTTTCTCAAGGCCTCTTGCTCTCAGCCCCTGCAGCAGAACTCACTTCCACAGTTGTGGCTGTCCTTTGAGTCTTCTTCCCAACCAGGTCGATCTGCTCATACTCAGCTCTCATGTACTTTTTTGCTACATCATAAACCCAGCGTGGGCAGGTGGCAGAGAACAGCAGCGTCTGCGGGTTGCTCTCGGAGCCTGCAAGGAAAGGCCATCGACTCTGACACTTGAGAACTGATAAAAGAGCAAGAGGTGCTCTCACACTGACACGTTTCTGTGGGCACCAAGTCTCTCACACTGCCAGCAATCAGCTTTTCATGGCTTTCAAAGCCATAGTGATTTCTATTTCTAACATTTCAAGCCTTTTCAGAAATTCTGGCACTAGTGAAATGTGGCAAGGAGTTCCACACATTAAAATAACCTCCTCCTGCACCATACCTGGTACCTGACAGCTTTGCTGAACATCCACTACATCACAAAAGTGCAAATATTCCCTTGTCAGCCGTGTGTGGTGACAAGTGTACAGACAGACCAAACCCCAACCCTCTGCTCAAGTCACCTCACTCAGGACAAGGAACATTAGGGATCAAGGAGTTGGGTTTGCTGCTTTTTCCCTTTTTTTTTTCACTCTACTCCTTCCAGAGATGCCACTCCAGCCCTTCAGCCTTCTGTCACCTCTCTTTGAACCTTTTCCAACTCTACCTTCCCCTTTTCTAGCATCACACAGAGAATTTAAGTTCGAGGTGCACCCAGAGTTGCTAAAGCAGCAAAACTGTGTTTTCTGCATTGCCCCCTATTCCTGCCCTGATGCCTCAGCTCACCTTTCTTATAGGATGATCCCAAGATCTCTTCCACTTGTTCAGCAAAGCCCATGTCCAACATATGATCCACCTCATCCAAAACAACGTGCTTCACACTGGAGAGTTCCAGCTTGCTGTTCTGAACGTGGTCTTTGATCCTGCCAGGAGTTCCCACCAGAATATCAATGCCACTTCTAAGGACATCAACTGGAAGACAGAAACAAGGGCAGTGTCAGAAGAGACAGCACGATAAAAAGTTACCAACAGCAACACTTTTCATTCCAGCAGCAAGAAGCTGCTGCCTTTAACCTCAGCATAAAGCACAACATCCACAGTAACAGAAACAGAAGTTAAGTGCAGTCCTTCCTACTCTGTCAGGAGTAGCAGCCAAACCTCACTGAAATTACAGGAAACACACCAATCTCCAAGCAACAATCATTTGGCATTAGAAACCTGCAGAGCTACATGGAAACACTTGTGTTTTCCAGATAATCTTTGTCACAGCTACCTCTGGAGACACACAGAGCCACAGGCACATACACAGCTCTCCCCTTTCTGTGCACTGTCACCTAGTCCTGCTCTGTGTCCACACAAAAACACAATACAGAAGAATTTAACAGGACTAGACACTTCACAGAACTACAACCATTCTTTTCCCTAAAGATTTATTGGAACTAAAATAATTCAACCCAGGCTGTGTGCTTGCTTTGAAAGCCACACCAATTGAGTTCCTGACTGAACTCAAAGTCTGAGGGAGGAAAAAGTCCATTTTTACTTATGGGGTGCACCCATGAGTAACTCCTTGGCAGTTACTTACGCTGCTCTTTGTATGGAGCCCCTCCATAAAAACAAGCAATTGACAGCTTCTTTGTGAAATTCTTGAAGTCTTTGGCTACCTGAATGGCCAGTTCCCTGGTTGGAACAAGAACCAGCACCTGAAGGGAGAGAAAAGCAGACAAAAATGCAGCTGTGTTGGGAGAAGGTGTAGGAGAAAAGAGTTCACTTCATGTCAAACAGTCTGCACTCCCATCTTCACACTACACAGAGGTGCCCACAGCTTCCCAGCAACATTCACATTCCCTGCCACAAGGAGCCTCAGAGCCAGCAGGGGGGAACCAGGGAAAGTGCTACAAGATAACCAAGACAACAGTAATTTTCTTTGTTATGTTGAAGTTATTAACATTCCTTGCCACAAGGAGCCTCAGAGCCAGCAGGAGGGAACAAGGGAAAGTGCTACAAGAAAGAAAATTACAGTTGTCTTGGTTTTCTTATGCTAAAGTCGGGTAAAAGACACTTCAGCAACATTACCAAGGACAAGGAAGGTGCAGCTCAGCCTTAAAGGGCAGAAACAGCCAGTAAATCTGGTGCAGTTAGATTTTAAAGATACACACACAGCATGATGCACTCCAGCCACACATCCCTCCTTTTCTCCACCAAGCTGCCTTCCTCCAGCATTTACCCTTCCCCTCTCCCTCTTTTCGTTTAAGTTAAAAAAGGGGGAGGCATTTAAGTCTAAAACAAATTAAACACCCCCAACGTTTAAGAATGAACCAAAAGCACAAAGAACTGAATTAATCTCTTAAAATCTTTCAGGCAAGCAACAAATCTGCAGAGTGTATACAGTTCTGCAGCCTAATGATAAATATATGCACTGCAATGCATGGGAATGGGGATCTGATCACTGGCATCAGGCTGCCAATTCCATCCCTGGTAAACTCCACTTGCATCTCCTGAGGATCCAGATATGAGAGGGGGGGAAAACCCCAAAAGCCTTCAGTTCTCCCGGTGGAATTTACAGTGAGAAACAGCTCAGCAAGCAGGGACAATCCAGGTGACTCACTCAAAGAGGCAGGGGACTGAAGCCCAAAGGTGCATGCCCTGTGTGCCCAAGGACAGCAGCCTGGGAGTTCCAGGCACTGCTGCAGTGCCCTGACTGTTTGGGGACCCCAAACACAGAGTGTGTCATTACTGTGATGCTGCAAAACTCTGTCACTCTACCTCCTGATCTGAGCAAACCACTCACTATTCCAAAAACCAGCAAAGGACAAAGAAGTCCCCAACACAAAACCCCAAAGCAACAGTAAAATCACTTTCAAAACGTGCCGTGCTCTAAGGTTTTGGTGCAAACCTGAAGTGTGAGCTACCTTTGGTGCACGGCCTCTCCTCCCATCCTGTGAGACACTCTGGAGTTTCTCAATCAGAGGAAGGGCAAAGGAAAGGGTTTTCCCAGTTCCTGTCCGAGCCTGAGCAATCACATCTTTGCCATCATAGATGGGCTGGAAAGTCTTCACTTGCACAGGGAACAGGTATTTTATACCTCGGGCTGTAAGAAAATAGAGACAGGTTTCATAAAGGTGAACTAACAGTTACAAGTCCTCATATGTAAATTGCCCAAATATGAAGGGCACACCACCTCAAACCCTGCACACAACAGAAACTGCAGTTTAGAAGAAAACCACATATTTTTGTGTTTTATTCCTGCTCTAGATCAAAAGATATTCCACCTACACAGTGAGAGCTGAGTAGCCACGATGAAATACAGTCTTTTTTATGTGCAATTTAAGGCAACAGGAGAGGAAGGAAAAAATCCAACATGTTTTTTCTGATGCAGCTCAAGATTTTGTGGTAGCTGGGTTTTGAAGGAAAGAAGGTGATGCAGCTTGTTTCAAAACAAACTTCAAAGAGATTTTGCCCAGTGGAAGTGAAACAAGCCATCCAAAAGAAACTTCAGAACAGGAAAACAGAAAGCAATAAGGAGAATTTTTTCTGACAGACAAGAATTGTTCATCTACCCAACAGAGAGGACAAGAAGCCTACAGCAATTGCTTCCTCAACAAAACTAATCACAAAGAGAGATGAAAATGCACCAAACTATTTGTGAAACTAAACAATCCATTTGAAGACCTGAAAATCTGTTCACACAAGGCAAATATTCTTCACACACAAAACTCCATTAGGCTTGTCTAAGAAGCAATATTGTAGGCAGCAGACACAGGAGCAGAAGTGAAGATACACAGAATGATGCTGATGAGAAATATGTCTCTAGAATGTCTATCTAAGAATAACCACTCCATGAAGAATAATCTCATATTAAGGCACCTGAAATTGAACAAACCAGAAAACTTTTCTACTAACAGCAGATTCTCTGAATCCACAGTGACTGTTCATGCCATCCTTACCATACAAATGCAACACAATTTAGGAGTATTTACCCTTGGTTTATGCAAGTAACAGAGCACAATTCTGACCAAACACAGAAATGGACTAACCTGTGAGAAGGTTGATAGTGTTTTGTGAGAGAGGGAAATTAGAGAAGGCGCCTTCTTTTGCTTCTTCTGTCAGCTCCTAATATGATTTTAAAAAAACCCAGAAAAAATATTTAGCATCCCTCCAAAATGAGCATAGAACATACCATACACAGCCACTCAATAAAAGCTGTGCATTTGCTTCACAACCACAGTTTAACCAGATACCTACTTATTATTCAGTGAAAAAGAAAATCTTTTTGATGTAGGCACTTGTACCTATATGCTTGGCAAGTCAGGAAATAGAAACTATTTGTTAAAAATCTTAACTAAAGTCCACTGAAACCACGAGAAAACTGCTTTTCACAATAAAACACATCTGGTGTCACAATTCATTGTGCAAAGCAGGATTTTCCCTCTATGTGTTACACCACGCAAAGAGCTTTGAACTTTACACGAGTAAATACTCAAAAACACAAAATTTGGCTTTTACTGTACACATGAGTAAATACTCAAAACACAAAATTTGGCTTTTACTTCAGAGACACAATAGATCACATCGTTACAGCTGAGGTACAAAATGCTCTCTTGATTCACGTTCCCACCTTAGACACAAAACTACCACAGAGAGGCCCTTGCACGTTTGTGTGAAAAGTGTGGATTAATGAGCATAACTGTGGCTCTCCATTACAGAACACTTGGCCAATTCCTCTTCTAAGGTGCTGCCACCAGAGAGAGAAAAACCATCACAGCACAAAGCACGGCACGGTTCTGGTCCGCGGCTGCCTGTGCAGAAACCTTTGTGCTGAGGGACACCAAAAAGCCGTGACACGAAGAGCAGCACACACGGAAACTGCTCCCTGGCCAGCCGCCTTCCCTGCAGGACATTTACCCGCTCGGGATTTAGCGGGAGGGGGAAGCACATGGAGAGAGAAGCTCCCACGTGTTGGTGCAAGCGCTGCCGAGCCGTATGCTCGGCGTTCCCCATGCCCAGGAACAAGCGCATGGCCGCGGCACAATGTGCCTACAACACATGCCTCGTGCTCCCCCACACTGCCCCACAACTCAAGTTTCCACACAGCACGCGTTATTAAACCCACTAATTAACGTTAATTAACCAAGACAAAGGCTTTGCCGGCAAACAGCCGTACCTCGGAGTCGCTGTCCTGCTCTCGGGCGGCCGGGGATGTCACGCTGCCGCTCACAGCGGCGGCAGATTTCACCGCCTGCTGGGACGCGTCGCTCTCTCCTACCAAGCCGTTCTTCTTCTCCTGAACTTTTTTCGTCTTCTTGGGCACGGGAGGCTCGAAGTCGTCATCCCCCAGCCCGTTCTCCTCGGGCTGCGCCTGCTCGGCCTCGGCCTTACCGCGGCGCTTCGCCTTCACCTGCTGCTTCACCTTCTTCCCCGGCGTCTCCTCCTGCAGCGGGAAAGCCGCGGTCACACGGAGGGAGGGACGGAGCCCC